ACCATCAACAACAAGTGCTGAAACTGAAAATGCTATTAAGGCATTATGTTCATCTATTCAAATACCTCAACAAACAATACCAAAAACATCTAGTGTAGAAAAATCACCTACAATTATCGCACCTATATCAAAAGAAACTTTACCTATTGTTGAACATCAATCAACACCTATAACAACAATAACAACAACAACAACGACAGTAACGCCAACAACTGCAACACCAACAACGTCTATAATACCACCACATGTTTCAATTAAATCATCAATACCATCAACAACATTTAGTATGTTTAATTTAAATCGTATACATTTATTAGATTCTTTTTTCTTCTTTTTAGATGAAGAAACATTAAGTGCAGTAAATAGTCTACTTATGCTAAATAATAATCCTCCAAATATAGCTGGTGATCATCCACCAATGAAGGGTACAGCACGTGTAACACCAACAATTAGTAAACCAGTTTATTCATTTGTCACATCGTTACCAAGTCCTACAGATCAACAATCTCGTCAATCTGCAACAACAACAACAGCTGCAGCGATGACATCAACAACAACTACGACAAGTGTTGCAACACCTTCAACACAACAAAATGATCTGATAACAATGGTATCAAATATTGTTTCATCAGCAAATCTTAATGGTGATAAATCAACGGTAACAACATCATCACCATTATCGTTATCGACCACAACAACAGCAACAACAACACGATCACATATTGAATCAGTTATTGATGATGTTGCTAAAGGCGTATCAACAACAACAGCAATAGTAACTGAACCTACAACATCTATTGTTGATACAAATCCATCATCATCGATATCAACTAATACTACTAAATCAACATCGATACCAACTGTATTACGTGATGTCATGAAAACACCTTGTTTAACATCATCAACAACAGTTACAACTGCAACAACTACAACAGCAGCAGCTAGTGAAACATTAAATCTATTTGATTCACATCGTCGTTCGACATCACCATTAAAAACATCGCCGATGACAGCGACAACAACAACTACAACAACAAATGTTTTATCAACAACCGCAACAGCATCATCGACTCCTGTCGTACCTGCTGTTGTTCGACCGACTTCACAAAAAGCTTCAACAAATCATAAACGTTCATCAACACCGAAAGCCGATCCACCACCGACTGTACCATCACCAATATTGCATCCATTTCAACATATGCTTTCAGCAGATGGTAATTTATTTGTTGCTGCTGCAGCTGCTGCTCATCATCCAAATTTTCCATTTTCAATATTTGGTCAATTGGGAACAAATCCAGTTAATCCAACGGGAAGTTCACCAACAAATCTACTAGCTTCATCACTTGTATCAAGTTCTCCACCATTAGCAACACGAACATCATCAATAAGTAATAGTAGTTCAAATGCAACTAGTCATATTGTTAATAATCCATTTCTCAATACAATTATGGCTGGACAACAAAATCTATCATCATCATCAGCACATTCAAATCAAAATACTCATGAAAAAGGATCAAGACGGTACAATTTTTATTTTTTCATTTGACAGAAATCTATTATTTATTTTTATTTTTATTTTCAGAGATTCTGTGACAAAAGGTTTAGGTACATCATCTTCATCATCAAATCGTTCAACACCTATTCAACAAACAGTACCTGTACCAATAGCATTGACTATTCCATCATCATCATCATCATCATCATCCACATCCACATCATCATCTAGTGGAACAACAAATACTATGATCAATCAACGACAGTCATCACCTTTATTAGGTTCATTGGATGCTACTACTGCAGCTGCTATACGACAAGCATCACCATTACAACAATTTCTTGGACCAGGTTTGTTCTATTGTATATACTTTGATTTTTAATTCTAATTGTTTAATTATTTTTAAGATTCTGTTGCACCATTTCGTAATGTTTATTCTGATCCATCTGAACTTTACGGTACACCACCAGGTCTTTATCAACCACAGAATATTGCTTATGCTGCTGCAGCTCAACAAATGTTAAACGTAATGAGTATAACAGGTAGTCATCATCCATTTGCTGCAGAATTATATTCAAATCCAGACTCATATTTACGTTTTAATCCTCCAACAAATGAACTATCACGTGATCCATATAATGTTCAATGGCAAGGAAATTTAATATTAAAAAATGATCAAGCATATGTTAAAACTCAACTTGTGGCTGGAAGTCCTCAAATAGCACGTGCATCAATGAATTATTGGAATTCCGATTCATTATCGAATGCATCGTCAAATCTACAGGCATCTTCACATCATAATTTACGTATATCTCAACGTATGCGTTTAGAACAAGCACAACTTGAAGGTGTACAAAAACGTATGCAAATGGATAATGATCATTGTATATTAATAGCTGAACCAAATGGTTCAACGCCAGATGAAATTCGTACACAACAAAATAATTTAAAAAATGGTGTTATTAGATATTTCGATGAAAAAAAAGCAGCCGGAATTGTCAATGTTTTATTGCCCGGTGCATCACAACCAGCTTATGTTGTACATATATTTCCACCATGTCAATTTGCATCTGAAATTCTACAAAAACGTGCGCCGGATACCTATCGTTGTGTTGTTCAAAATAAAATTGAACAAATTTATTTGTTAATTGTCATAACGAGTACAGTTCAATAGTTCTGTATCATTGTTTGTTATTTCAACTGTTTTTTTTTCTTTTTTTTTTGTTCTTTTTCGTTCTCAAAATTCTCCTTTTTTTCTTTTTCTTACCTACATACATACACACAGTGTTCTTGTGTACTATTGTAGTCAGTATTCGATGTGATGCTTCTTTATTTTGTATAGTTTCTCATAATCTTCTTCTTGCTTATGTTGGTTTTTTTTTCTCTTTTGTTTTTCTCCTCTGTTCTTCTTATATATATATACATACCTATATATATATATATATATATACTCAATTCCTTTCTTCTCGTATAGACACACACATACACGCTGATAGAATTATGCGAGTTGTGGGAATAAAAAAAAGAAGAGAAGAAGAATCAGTTTTTGTTCTGGTTTTTTTGTTGTATATTCAATGTTTGTTTGTGTGTGTGATTTAAATAGATGAACGACGTTTATCTTGTATGCTCACCAGGTTTTTCTTTTTTTTTTTCTTCTGTTTGTGTTTATGGAAGTCTACTCGTTTTTTTGTTTCACGCGAGTGCAACGCAGTAAAACAAAAAGAAAAATCCTAACTTACAAAAAAAAAGTTAGAAATATAAGAAAAAAATTATTACATCATTAATGCTTGCTGCTCTCGTGTCCTTTTTTTTACTGATATATCTATTGACATGAGGATTAATTTCTTGATGATCCAATGTAGTGTACTTTGATTGGATAGAAGCAAAAGAAAGATGTCTATGATAATTCATTCATATGTGGCTTGCACGCATAAAAAAGCAGATGAATATGTAGAGCGTATGTAAGCTCTCAACAATGCGCTTATTTCAATCGACAAATGAATGTTGAATCCCCGTGAGCACTAATAAGAACAGCAGCAACAACAGCAATAACTCTCTATGGGTGTTCTATTACAACTACTACTAGTACTAGTACTACTACTACTACTAGTACTTCTGTTGTTGTTATTGATGTTCATTCAATTTCCCGAGCAAGACATTTTCATCATCTCAGCTCGACGGATATCCATTATCTGACTCGTACGCATCTACGACGTGTTTGATGTTTGCATGTGTATGTATGCAATGCACTAAGAGCATCATTCGCATGTTAGTGTGTGAAGAGATAACAACAACAAAAAGAGCTCAATCTCTATTACAATGAATTGAATTTAGATATTAGAGAAAAACCTTTTTTTTTATTCTGTTAACAAAACGACCGATCGTTTCAGGGCTACCATAATTGAATCAATCAGACGAACAAATTAGTTTTGACATAGGCTTACTCGACGTTTCTACGGCATTGTTACATTTTTTTTCTTCTTTTTGTCGTTGACGATGTCTTAGAGGAGTACGATCAACGATCGATCTCAACAACATCATACTTATATTATAAGTAAAGCAATGTTAGATTTCTATCGGAAGCAATAAATATCCTTTCAGACTCTTTTTTTTTCTTATAAAATTAAAGTTGCAAATCCTTATAGACATGTAATGATGTTATTATAAATAAATCGTTGAATGACTATGATTGAGAGACTTGTTATGAGCTCAATTTTATCATTTGTCTGATCTTTGGCAATGTGCCATATTATTCTCGTATCTTTCTTTCTCTATTCTCCTTGTCTTGTATTCATTTTCCGCTCGTCTCTGTCCAATTTGACGTGACAAATATGGTCGTTTTAGACATTAACCGGCGACTTTCGTTGACATAGATTAAGAAGAAAGTAGACTACCATACGGCACGTGTGTATAACATTCATCAATTAGCACACTTTTCTCTTTTTTTTCTAATATATTATCATTAATATTGTCTTTAGTTGGTAATTTTATATCGCTTCATGAATTTCATTCGTTTGAATAATTTATATGTTAGAATTTTACATTATAAAGAGTAAAATTAATGACGACCTTTTGAGTACTGTAGTATGATTGTTATTATTATTATTTCTCGCACTTCTCTTTCCACTAAGCAAGGTCGTAGTCTTCTATAAAAACAGATGGATTTCTATATCAATATAACACATCCATGATGAAGAAGAAGAAGAAGTAGGCAAACGACAAGAGTAAGTTATAGCCACTTGACGATGTCGAGTAAAAGGTAAATGATGACAACAGGGTCATCCTATTGACATTTCTAAGCGAGTGTTATGCAAGGGCATCTATTTAATATATGTATTACCTTTTGATCATTTTTACTATTACTTTTTTTCGTTACTGTCAAATAGACATTTAGACATATAAAATGAAAAAGTGTAGGTATATATTTTTCTTCTTCTATTACTACTACTACTACTACTTGTTCTTCTTCGTATTCTTCTTTTTCATTCTTTTCTCTTGTCATTTACTAGGCAACAAAAGAGAAAAGAAAAGAATGACGAAAATAATTGAACACTACTATAATGTTACCACCCGTCGACTTTCTCTCTCTCTCTCTCTTGTTTCATAATACTATTAGCAAGAGAAAGA